AGTGTTTTCATGAAACGGTGAAGAAATATAAAGTGCACTTATTAGTCATTATGTGTTTTTGTAAAGTTCTCTACCAGTCAACAAGCTCCCTAAAAGGCATGAGTAACAAGGTTATTATGAACTTTATGTTCTGGAGAGGAAGCCTACTAAATGAAGAACTGAATGACTGGACATTATACCAAGTGTAGCTTTAAATTAAATCAAAAGATTTCTTTTCCTTCCACCCACTCAGAAGGACTGTGAATAATGATATTTTGTAACACATGATAGAAAATTCCATAGAATCATAGAATCTCAGGGTTGGAAGGGACCTCAGGAGGTCATCTAGTCAACCCTCTGCTCAAAGCAGGACCAATCCCCAACTAAATCAACCCAGCCAGGGCTTTGCATACCTGGGTGTTCCTTCTAGCTGGGTTATTTTGAAACCCATTAAATCTCCTATGCAAGGAGACTGGTAACAAATATACACATCTGTAGCAATGACCTATTGAATGGGAATACAGATGTGGAGATGGACACTCTCCTTATACTTATTCCCTTTCTTGGTATTTGGAATTCCAATAGATGTAATCTCATCATAGAATATAGGATCCAGTCTGCCACATCCTCAACATAGGAGAAGCTATATTTTCCCTTCCCACTCTACTTTCAGCAGCCCCATTGACAGCGGGCCCTTTGAAATTGAAAATTAGGATAAGGATTTATTCTATGGTGAAACTATAGATCTTCCAATGTCAAGAACCTCCACACTAAGTAAGAGGGAGTGGTAAAGGTATGCTGCTCAAATATGTGACATGCTAATGCAGGCAGCTCTCTTCAGCCTGACTGGAGGCTTCCCAAACTTCTGAATTTGTTCAGAAAGAAGCCCACTAATCACTAAAAGGAATGAGGTCCACCCCTTTACAGTTATCTTGCAATAAACAAACAGCACAGCCAACTGAATTTTAGGATATTGGCAAGATCTCACAGCAAAAGGCCATCATGATCTGCAGAGCAGCAAATCCACCATGTTAGATAAAAGAATGTCTTCCATGACTGAACTGTCAGGCACCAAAGAGATCTTTTCCTACTGCAATGCTGCTAGTTCACACATATGTGAACATGCATGCACACACAATAAAAGTGTAGTAACTATATACAACTGTTGCATAACTATCATTTGATAGGAAGCCTCCATTCCAATTAGTCAAACTGCCATAGTTTTCTTGCTGTATATACATTCCACTCTCTCATTGTAGGAACTGAAAGTCTCCACTGTGCTCCAGTGCTGCAAAACTAGTGTGATTTACTGGCCAAGTTATGTGTGGGCAGGCAGATAGACATAACAACAGGTGAATTTACCAGTATCTTGACACTTGATGCTCCCTAAGGTGCTCCCACCTCCCTCCCCGTCCCAGTTAGGTAAAACTTTGCTTCCAACTTTTTATTAGATTTGCTTTCAACAAACTCTAATTACAATTCTTATATTTGTTCTTAAAGCTAAAATCTGTGTTCTGATGATAAGACTTAAATCCAAACAGACAAAAGCTTTGATGTTGAAGTGTGGGCCTCAATAGAGAGCTAATAGGTACAGCTGAAGCTAGTTAGTAGAGAAAATGTTAATAAAGTCAATCTGATTAACTGATATCATTTTAGGGAATAGATTTTATTTTGTCCTTTGGATACAATACAGAATGTATATGGTTAACATAAAAACCTGGTAATAAGGATATTTTTTCTGCCACCGGGGAGTCCTAGTTAAGTGACTAGTTCTAACACCTTAGATATGTAGATAAATATTGAGTAAATAAGAGTATCACACACACAGAGGGCCTGTCTCTCCTCTCATGCCAATTTTGCACTGCTATAACTATGAATGTCAATGGAGTTGTCTTTATTTACACTGATGTAAAATGAGATCAGAATCATACCATGTGTATCTTTCATACTTTATATTCTGAAACCTGCTGACATTCAGAGCCTATTGCAAAGCTCATTAATTTTCCCAGGCTCTCTCTAAAGGCTTGTTTGCACTGGGAAAACTCATTCATATGTGCTAACACACATGGTAATACACAATGTTCAACACAACTTAGCACTCATTTTATACAAGCACTGTCATATTTAAAATCATGTCAACTGGTCATGGTTAACCCTAGGTTCCTGAACCTGTAAAAACTTATGCATGTGCTTAACTTTACACTTGAGAATAGTCCCATGGGAACACACACATTCCAAGAGTTAAACAAGTGTACCTGATTGCAGTATTGTGGTCAGTATTGTGTTACTTGACACAAGTTAAAACAAGATGCATCTTCCTAGCATAGACAAGCCCCAAGGAGGGTTTCATAGATATGTGCAATTATACTACATTACAGGGGGTTTTTTTAGAAACACCTGCAACTTTTGTTTAAAATAAATGAATAGATAGTGTTGTGCCTCAGTGAAAGCCACCATTTAACTGCTTCTCCCAGCAGGAAGTCCTTATCAGCTGATTATCATTTGTGACAAAGAAAAACTTCCTTGGAAAGTGAATTTATTAGCTGTAGTATTTGGCCATATTGTAGTCTAGTCTTCCTCCTTAAGCTATGGACAGCTTCAAATAAGTTAGCCTGCAGCTCAATGGGATTTTCAATCAATCCTGTTAAGCTAACTCAATTAAGCAAACATAATTGAAAAACACACCCTTTTTGCCTGTCAAGACAAAGCCCTACCAAGAGAGCCAGAAGAATTCAATTTATTCCAATTGTTTACTTTTTGCTTCTGCTTTTCCAATTATTTAACAGAAGAACATCAAGATCGGCTACTACAGTTGGCAGACTGAGCTTTCCTATATAAGCACACCTGAGAAACGCTACACAGTTTATCTCTATGTCTGCCAGTACAGACAAGTATATGTTGTTTATTGTAGGAATGTGTTCCTCCCTAATCACAAGCCCAAGAAAACGGCAAACTGTTTCCTTGGCAATGAAGCGGGAGTGACCTTGTTCTAGCGCCTATGTTTGGAAAACTTATTGGCAACAATGATATCATCTTTGTAGCTGGCTGTTCAAGCGCTCAAAAGATGGGTTTGTAATCTCATGCTCATGTTTACTGCCTGCCTTCTGAATGGGCAAGAATGTAACCACTCAGATAAGTTGTAAACAAAGTAAGGAGAAGAATAAAAACCCCAGGAAAGGTTTTTTCCTGAGAGGCTTTTGCAGGAGGCTTGAAAAGCTCTCTAGCTACCACAGACCTGGTGTTCTATTTCCTTTCCTGCGTCGTCACCACAGCAGTTTATGATCAAGTTTCTACATTTCTGCAAACTGCTGCTATATTTATGTTTCATCTCACAATAATTTAAACGTTAAACAAATACACAGAAGTATAGTGCTGTCAGAAAGTGCCTAGACTTAAAGGTTCTGCTCTACATCTATTTTCATGTATTTGTAACTGCTGTAAACATTCACTCTAGACTAAAATTTGGCATTCAAACTATCGGACTGCTCACACTCCTATTGAAGTCAATGGGAAGTTTGCCAGGTCTATGCACGGGAAATGTTTAATGGTTCAAAATAAGGTCTGCTTGGCTGTTTCATATCTGCATAAGCACAGAAAAATAGTTCTTAGGTATTTTCACCCTTCCCTGATTCCATCTGGGTAATACGTGCTACAAGAGTAAAATTGTATGAGTCTTTGGTCAGTTCATTATAGATGTCTATATGATAATTTAACAGATACATTTTTAAGAATCACACAGAGCAATGGAAAAACATTTAAGTATTTAATAACCAAAACAAATATTTATTGAAATATAATTTTTCAGGCCAATATGCTGAATGGCAGACCAAGGCTTCAGTTATTTTCAGAACTAATCTTTGTAAAAAGCATCAGTACACAGATTTTAAAAGTGGCTAACAGAGGCTCAGAAGCAGTAACAATACTTTTCATAAATATTTTCATCAAGCAAGTTTCATATAAATTTATTACAGAAAACATGCATACTTTGCTACTGCTTCATTTACCTGGTATACTGAGAATATCATACATCCAGTGCTCATACATCATGATCATACATCAAGATTTCCAGACCAAAGTGGTTTGGATAAGCACCCAGAACTATACATCATGACTTAAAGAGTGCAAAGTATGAAAAGTGAATCAACAGTTAGTTAAACAAAGCACTCTCCCATTTATATCATTTGTTCAGTTTTACTTTACAAGGATCAGTTAATTAAAAGAACTCTTTCAAGTAAGAATTATTTCTACCCTGATGCACAATGTCTCTTTGGGGCTGAAATTTCAAAATATGACATTTATATTTTCTCTTATACATCTTGCACATATAGGCCTTGAAGCTAATGAGACTCACATGCTTAAAGTTAATCATGTGCCTAAGTAGGCAAGCCATTTGTCCGGTTTTAAGCTGGACAGTTCTACTTTTCTAATGTTTGTCTCCTATCCAGTACTGAGACAAAATGGGACATAATTTTGTCCAGCTCCAGATGGGGAGGTGCCATTTTGAAGAGCACATTGCCCTGCCCCTGCCGGTGCACTCGTCAAAAGGGCAGCTCCCATGTGGAGTGACCTCACACTGGTGGGGATGGAGTCACACAGGTGAGGGCAGGACATGCCGTTCCCAGAAGTACTGGAATTCTGGGGATGCGTGAGTGGCCATCCTCTGCCTAAGTGTTTTGCTGTAATGAAAGCATAAACATTTGTGTGTGTTTGTGCATGTATTTTCTATTGATTGCATATGCAAGTAACAATATTGTACACACTGTTGTATGTGCATAAATAGTAGACAGGTTGACCCTTTTAAAATTATGACCCACAAAGTCCTGCATCAAGGTACAGTTAGCTGCATTATGTATGGACTTTGCTTTGTGTCACATTCCAAAGACTGGAAAGCTTTGAAACAATTTTTAAAGTAAAAAGCATTTCAAAACCATGCATACTCAAAGGATAGGCTTTGAAGAATGTAGATAAGGGGAAAATGAGGTATAACAAAATCAAAAGCACTGAGGCTTGTCAATACTTACCATTGAGCCACTTGGAGTTGTACTGTGCAGTGCGGAGAGGAGGAAGAGCCCCCAGACTGCGGTAAATGGCAGGATCCCTTCCTGGGAAATCCATGGCTGTAGCAGCATATAACTCCCCACTGGAAGTGAGAAGAGCTGTGGAATTGTGTTGAGGACTGTATGGACAGCGAGCCATGCCACTGATCTGATCATGTATCTCTGTCAGGTTGCTTAACTGGAAAAGACAACAAAAATCACATAAGCATGACAAGATGAGTCAAACCACACCATCAGTGAAGAAAAATACCATAAGCTCAGCAAATGTCTCATGTTACCATAACTCAGTGCCAAGCACACTTCTTTATTCCAGGCCCATGTTAGAAATATAATGCCTTTCTGGTCTTTTTATCTTTCAGATCCAAAGAAACACAGTGAGGAAAACATTTATATTAATTAATTAAGAATTATACTTAAAATGTTATTTATTAGCAGCAACTTAGAAAATAAATTATGTATATGACACTTTTCTGAAGTGACAAAAATCAGGATGTGTGTATCTTGGTAATATCCTATCCTACGCATTAATATATTAAAGAATGACGATATGCCGCCAAAAACCATATTCGATGTACAATGGTCATAGTTTTCTTGTCGTGAAAGTTCATAGATCTAACTGTTACAGAGCAATTGGCTAGAGGGCATAGAAACATTATCCTCTAGTTTTGTTGGTGTCTTCCAGGACACAGGGATAATGAGCTCAAAATAACAATGAGCTTTCCAGCCCAATGGAACTGAGGGTATGATTTAGTAGGCCCTAATACACTCAACCACAAACCACAGTTTTAAAGCCAATATGCTATTTTGGAAATTGATGTGCAGTAAGTTTAAATTGTGTACATGTTCCCAGAGGTTTGACACTGAGCAGATTTATTTTTTAAAATACAAACAAAACAAAACACCAATAAATGGTCACCATATTCCAGCCAGCGGTATTTTGATGTTTATTCTAATTTTAATTAATCCTTGATGCATTCTCTCTCTCGTTATCTCTCTCTCTCTCTGATATATCCTTAATCAATAATTTTCTTTTTGACATCTTTTAAATCCATAAATTGTAGCTGTGTTAAAAATAGCAGAATAACATTTCCAAAAATTTGGAGGTTTGTTGCTGACACCAATCAGAAATCAGAGTAATATATATTATCATCTTAGCTAAATCTATCTGTACGTATCTGCATCAACCTTTCTTTACTTTTGTTGGCCCACAATTACATTCATTAGATATACAAATTTTACACAATGGGATGCACAAACCAAGTTTTTGTGACTCTCAATTTTATGTACCTAAGTCCTGATTTATGCACCCAAATGTGGATTTTGGACACCCTGTTAAACTTAATACATTTGAAATGTGGCTGTGTATCTCATCTCTTGTGTACTGCTATATTGTGAAATATACTGAGGTGTAAAATTCTAAGAAAACATTCAACAAAATCACTTAAATAAAAAGGGGATGTCAGTTTCATGGTTTTACCATAACCTAGGGTTACCATATTTGCACAATGAAAAAAGAGGACACGGGGGGGAGGAGCCCCGCTCTAGCCCCGCCCCTGCCCTGCCCCGCCCCCATCCACTCCCTCCCACTTCCCACCCCCTGACTGCCCCCCTCAGAACCCCCAAACCCCCCACTCCTTGTCCCCTGACTGTCCCCTCCTGGGACCCCTGCCACTAACTGCCCCCTAGGACTCCACCCCGTATCTAAGCCTCCCTGCTTCTTGTCCCCTGACTGCCCCCTCCTGAGAACCCCCCACCCTAACTGCCCCGCTAGGACCCTACCTGTCCCCTGACTGCCCCGACCCTTATCCACACCCCCACCCCATATTCACACCCCCGCCCCCAGACAGACCCCCGGGACTCTCATGCCCTATCCAACTGCTCCCCGCCCACTGACAGGACCCCCAGAACTCCTGACCCATCCAACCCCCTCTGCTCCTTGCCTGCCTCGACTCCTCTTCACACCCCTGCCCCCTTGACAGCCCCCCCAGAACCCCCGACCCATCTAACCCCCCCTGCTCCCTATCCCTGACTGTCCCAACCCCACTCCACACCCCTGCCCCCCTGACAGCCCCCTCCTCGAACTCCAGACCCATCCAACCTCCCCCGCCCGTCCCTTGACCAGGGCCGGCTTTAACAAGAGCCCAAGAATCGGGTTGCACTCTGGCCGGAGTCGAGGGGCTTGGGGCCGGGCCGGAGGTGCTCGGCCGGGGCCGAGCTGGCCGCCCTGGGGCCCGAGCCGGGCCGGAGCCGCTGGGGCCGGCGTGCTCAGTCAGAACCGGGGCCGCCACCCTGGGGCCCAAGCTGGGCCAGAGCCGCCGGGGTCAGGGCCGGCGCGCTCAGCTGGAACCAGAGCCGCTGGGGCCGGGGCTGGGGGTGCTCGGCCAGCGTCGCTCGGCCGGAACTGGGGCCAGTGCCCCGGGACCCGAGCCGGGCCGGGCTGGAGCTGCTGGGGCCGGCCGGGGCCGGAGGTGCTCGGCCGGGGCCGGGCCGGCCACCTGGGGCCCGAGCCAGGCTGGAGTCTCTGGGGCTAGGGCCAGAGCCGGCACACTCGGCCGGAACCAGGGCCGCCGTCCTGGGGCCTGACCCGGGCTGGCGCCGCTGGGGCCGGGGCCGGGCCGGCGCGCTTGGCCGGAACTGGGGCCGGTGCCCCGGGGCCCGAGCCGGGCCGGGCCGGAGCCGCTGGGACCAGCCGGGGCCGGAGCCGCTCGGCCGGGGCCGGACTGGGCCGCGCTGTGCCTCCCCGGAGCCCCCCTCCTCCCGTCCCCCCCGCCCCAGCTTACCTGCTGCTGCCCACCTGCCCCTGCTTCTTTTCAGACTTCCCGCAAAGATCTGATTCGTGGGAAGCAGGGGAGGGGGAGGAGCAGGGGGGCGGGAGCGTTCAGGGGAGAGGAGGAGGGGAAAACAGGTGCGGGGCCGGGGGCGTGCTAAGGCTGCAGAGGATGGGGGGAGCCGAGAAGGGGCTTTGTCTGCCGAGCGGCGCCGCTTTTCGATCTAT